CTTGGTGCATGGGAAACCTCCTATAATAAAAATCGTTTCCACGAAGTCCTCCTGTGCCGGCTGAGAATCGGCCATTCATTCCTAACCCATCAATACCTGCTTATAGGTGAGGAACCGCCGATATGCGAGCACTGTGGGGAAGCTTTATCTGTTCTGCATGTTCTCTTTCTTTGCCGTGGCCTTTTACAACAATACAAGATCTATTTCTCTGAGTTTTTCAAGTACAACATCCCATTTCACCCTGTCTTATTTCTAGGGGAGCAGCCTCTCATATCACTTGAACGTCTTTTAGCTTTCCTCAAAACTACAGGTATCTTACATAAATTATAGCCAAATTCTAGTCTAGTGAATGTACTTTTACCTGTGTTTTTCAGCTTACCTAGTTTGGCGCAGTATGGCCATCGGAGCTCTTGCGCCATAAAACCCGTAAACAACAACAACTACGGTCTCTTTTACCTACTTTTGCCCTACCGAAAATACTTTTCTTGGATAACGCGCCAAATCTTGCTTCAAATAAAATAAACAAGTTTTTGAAGAAAAAAAAACGGCATCAGGCATCACATTAGTGCACCATACCATCCTGCAACTAACGGGCAAGCAGAACAGATGGTGTGCGAAACGAAAAAAAAAAGGCCTTTTGAAGCTTACGGAAGGAGCAGTTCAGTGAAGAATCGCCAGGTTCTTGTTCCAGCAGCACGCCGACGGTCTCATATTACACGGTAAAAACACCCGCCGAAGCAATATTCGGCGGACGAAGAGCCACACCCCTCGATCTGATGGTACTATGGCCTACGAACGAAGATCTAGAGATTCCCAGATCGGGAGTAATGGCAGTTTATTCGGTCGGACAACTCGTCTATACGTGAGGAACTTCAGCGGAAGTCGGGCCTTCCATGTAAAACTTGAGTAGAAAAGGCTCCATGTTGATTTACCAGAAGGTGTCATCCCCCTGAATACGTCGGATATCAATGCCCTTGAGTGTAAATATAACTAAATCACAAAACTCTCTTTGTGTATTGCGTAACTGCCTTTGTATTTGGTAATAGAAGCTATGGTGGTGATTTGGACCTGTCACACCAGGCTCCTTTTTTTTTATTTTTCGCCTCATACTTCTTTGCGGTTTAAGTATACTTCAAGAATCTTTTGGAAGGGGGACACTTTACGTCAACGAGGCCATTTGTTCCATGTAGTCAATCAGGGAATGCTGATAGAAATCCGTCCCTCATATTAACGAATAAGCCACACTTCTGCACAGTGCAGTTTTCCTGTTCCACGTAAAGTTGTAAAGCAGCATCCTCATTGATTCTACCATATTCTGTTACGGGTAAAGAAAGTCTTTGGGTACACGATACTTGAAACAAGTCTGGCACTGTACGTTGTGGTTCGACACCCACCAATGTCGTCGTCCTTATAGAGCCTCACCATTTAATCATTACCTCGTCACCTCATATTGCTCTTCATCAACAGTAAGTACAATAGGCTACCGCCATATTACAATCCAAGAATTGAAAAATTGAGTCGTTCAGTCCTTCAACAAGTTTATTATGTATATAAAGTTATTACGTTAAATTACCTCGAGACGATCGACGTCCATCGTCGATCTTAAAATACTTATACCTGTATATAAATTAGACGCACAAGGGGGGGGGGGGGGGGGGGGGGGGGGGGGGGGGGGGGTCGGTGCCCGAGTGCATGGTCTAGCGCACACCAGCGCGGAGAGCTCGGAGCACTTGGATCGAAAGCTCGCGCTGCAGAACCCACCCCGCCCCTGCCCATTTCAATCTGGAAAAGCATCGTACCGGCGTGCGGTCGTGTATCACTACTGCGTGGTGCACGTTAATGACCCCAGGTTTGCGGTTGTACCGCACTGGCTAAATTGCTCATCTACAGCTGAGACACCAGACGCCCACTGAGGCAGACTCACTTCCGGCTGTATAAACATCTACACAACAATTTGCAATTAGACGCACAATCACAAAGGACACAGCGTGCCGCCTCTTTTCTTTGGATGCCTTTTTTTTTAAACCAGCGCAAGCTCGCGCGTTCTCTCTTTTGAGACGGTTAGAACGGTCACTCATAAAACCCGCGTTTCTCCTACCCGGCCGCTTCCTCCTCTCATTATGTGTAGTTGGTTATAACTAAATAAGCTATAATAATGGTGTATTATTCATATTTACTTTCAGTTTCAGTCAGAGAAAAGGAGTTTCGGGGGAACTAGAGCCAATAAATGAGCTGCGCGCACTCTCTTCCCCGACATTGTTGTGAACGCCTCCATTTTGGTGCTTTGTGCAGAGCAGGCGCAACTGCCGATCGTCATGATTCAGAAGTGCGACATCCTCAGCATTATATTCGATGTTAGGAAGCTCATGCAATGTTGCTTTGCTTTGTCGCAAACTGTTTAAAGTGGAGGACGGAAAAGCGTTTCGTGTGATTTCAGATAAAGCTTCAAATAACTGGCAATCATGATTTTAAGCCACAAGCCACAATATGGCCAAGTGTCGCTACTAGGAAGCGTAGCTTATTTAATGACATTATTCATGCTCTTGTTCAAGAGGCTTGTAATACCTGGAGGGGCCATGACGTAAGCCCCGTGGATTCCACAAGCCACTACCTTTTGACACCTGCCTCTTCCTCATTGTTCCCGCTTGTGTCAGTAAATTAGCGACGGTTCAGAGTAACGATACTTGGCCATATTGTGGCTTAAAATCATGGTTGCCAGTTATCTCAAGCTTTATCTAAAATCACAGGAAACGCTTTTCCGTCTCCCACAAATGTTTAAACAACCCGCGACAGAGCATTGCAATATTGCATCACCTTCCTAGCACCGCATCTAATGCTGAGGAAGTCGTACTTTTGGATTATGACGATCGGCAGTTGCGTTTGCTCTGAACAAGAACCAAAATGGCGGCGCCCAAAACAATTTTGGGGAACGGAGTGCCGATACTTTAAAGCTTATTTAGTGACTCTAGGCATGAAGTGACCTCGGGTGTATTCTTTTCCTCTTCGTCTTTATTGTTTATTGATTTCAGTTATATCAAATAATGAACACATTATATCACGCTACGCTCGTGTAATTATTTGTCTTAGATTTATTAATCTGACCCAGTACTTAAGCCATTCATTTATCGATAGTAAATCTTCCAATATATTTTTTAAACGTGAAGGTAAAAATACAAGGAGATTGATGATGATACAGACGCCAACGCCGCTCTCAGAAATTTTTTGAAGATTAGAAATCGGCAGTTTGTCTGCCATCCGCCAGGTAGCGCAACAAAACACGCAAACAGTTTTTAATTGTTTTTGAAATCAGCTAAGCCCTACACCAATTAAGAAACCAAAGCAAGATCATAGTGAAAGTTTAATACGTCGCAATGTATATCTATTCCAAACAATAAGTGTTATTAGATGCCAATAAATCTGTTTGATGTCCAAAAAAGATATGCGTCAAAAACAGGCAAGTTTGAAGGGCTCCTGGAGCGTTATGACTTTGAAAATTAAAAAAAGCCATTGTCCACCTCTTGGGCAACCATTGTAGCTCTAAATGTTATACAAGTTTTTATCATAGTTTAATTATTTCCTCAGCGGCATTTGAAGTACCATGACTCGAAGCACAAAAAAGTGCTACGTTTAATTTAAAATATCTAAATAAAAAAATTTTACACAACATTAGATTTTTTTCTGCATGCTACCAATTATAAACACTACATTTGTAGCTAATTCCATTGCCCTAGCGCTTGTCATTAAAAACATATTCGAGCTGAAAAATGTCAATTTTAGGGCAACATTTGGAGGGATGAAAAAAACAAAGTAGTGCAAATACCAAAAAAAGTGTATCGTTACATTCTGCTCCAACATCATCTTAACAAAACTGCTATATTGGAACCGTGTTATCTTTAATGGATCGTTCATAGAACATGAACTAGCGGAGCAAGTGAGGATCCGCGCCATCATATTCGCAACGCTACAAATGCGCATGAATAGTAAAAACCAACACATACATACATGATATCAAATTAAAGAGGATTGCATTGCCTTTCGAATGACATCAATTCCACGAAACAGTATTTAAAATGAGATGAGTAATGACCTGCCAAAAAAAGTACCTAAACTGCCCCATTCAGTGGGACCGTGGCCTTAAAAGGAGACAAGGAACAAGTCGAAGAAACTTGTTTATTTTACATTTTTGAAACGACTGGCTGCCCTCCATGTTGCGTCTGCTGTGGGAAACCGCAGGGTGCACAGGGTCCATTTTCTCATCGTTCGAAATTCCCGCCATTCGAGTATCTGGTTCTGCGGAGCAAGTATGAGACTATGGACTACTTGTTCAGGAGTTGTCATACTGAATTAATCTTATCTGTGCCTAATGGGTGGTGTCCTCCCAGCTTTGTCGGTATGTCTGCATATTATGCAAGTATTCAAGATATGGGTAATACCTCAATGTCCGTCCAAGCACGCAGCCGGGGCTTATATCCGAGGCTTCCAAATTCTTTATTTAAAAACAACTAGTTTTGAAACTCTATTGGCAGAAACTTCAAAAGATAAAATTGGAAAGTGTTTTTACACTGGTTGTGTTGAGATAACGTATATGGTTAATTTGTTTATTTGAAAATCTTCTGTAGTACAGGAATCTCACACTAGAGAGCCGGAAAGAACAATACAAAGAATACATTGTTTTGTTTATTAGTTCATTATTCTTTTGATCTTTTCACGCACTTTCTTTATGCGCTGGAAAAACAAATTCTCAAGTTTTTAACACCTAAGATATAAACAGGGGTATGTTAGGAGCTCTGTATTCATTTATACTATATAAAAGTACTCTGAGGTCTGAAAAAAATAATTTTATTTAGAAGTAAAATATACAACGGGCTGTCGTGTTCGGTGAGTTGTTGAGCTGCGCAGTAACACAACAGGTAATTGTACCCATTCGCCGCTCTCGTCGTGTTGTTTTTCTTGGTGTTATCCGTGTTATCGGTGTTATTGCAAGTTCAGCGCGTGTTGATACTATTTCCTGGAAAACAGTTGGAGACTTTCATCTTGCGATCGCCGTCCCGCCGTGAAAACTGCCGGTGAAAACATCTCTCAGCTTTGCAGCAACAACCCACGCGGCTAAAGAAAAAGAAAAAAAGATACACGAGCTACCATTTCGTAAGGAAGCAGCGATTCCCTGTCGGCTTCTTTTGCCTGTCTTGACTTCAATTTGGTGATGGCATTCTTCTTTTAACGGGGCGCGCCAATAAATCGACAGAAAGCTGTCTAAAGCCGCGTTACAGTAACCGTCACTCGTGCCGACATCAAAACCTTGAATTACCGTCGCGAATAAAGCGAACCCGTCACTTGCGATTCCAGCTGGTTTCAGCATTTTGTGCAGCTGCATTCGCGCTCGGGACAAAAGTCGCTAGCTTGTGCCTTTCTGCAGCTCCGAGACTCTTTGGGTCAATAGTTTTCCTAGAGTGCTCGCCAATATTACTCGAAGCACCGGATTTAGCCCGTATGGCGTTGCACGGTAAAATTATTGTGCGATCAGCAACGTTCGATTTAGCGGCGCCGGCCGTGGTTCACGTGCGTCATAAACCCGGCGTGTTAAACGATAGCCTTGGCGAAGAAACGAAGTCAAACCGTGTGCGAATGCGATGATGTAGCGGGCTTTTGGAGACCGAACGCTTCTTTAAATTGCCGCTTTTCTTTCTTTTTTACGTAGAGGGTGAAGGTTTTCGCTGCTGTTTCGCGTGATGTGAATGGTCCGGCTCTGACAGACGTCGAGCGCCTCAAAGCAGATCTTCGAGGCTGCGGGAGGCTGCGGGCCACCGGACCGAATGACCGAAGCACAGGAACTGTCTTTCGCCATGGCTGCGACCAACGGCGGACTGGACGGTGGCAATATCTGCAGGGATTTCCTGCGCAAGGTACGGTAGTCAGCTTGAGCAAGTGAATGGTAGCTTTCGGAGGTAGATCGCTTTTCTGTCTTGTAGTGGTCATGAAACGAAGGATTTGGGTAGAAATCGGGTGTGAACATAGGTGATGCCTAATGCGGAATCAAATAGTGCACCCTGCATGCTAACTGATTGGCATTGTAGAACTGCTAGTATCAAGTTTTGCTGAAGGCATTTGCAGTGTCTTTCGCATCACATTGAATACCTAGCATTGCGGAAAACAAATTCTGCATGAGGAGCACACCACTCCCTTGCAGACAAATTCCAGACACAAACCTGAAACATTCTCATCTTACCAGAATTTATCAACAGAAATGAAAAATAGGGGTCCATATCACATGAGCGAATGATGTTTTAGTGAACAGCGACATTTGAGCGAATCGACGTTTTAGCGAATAACGGGGGCGCGCGTTAACCCTTCCGCTGCGCTGCACTTACGTCGCTTCACGGCGACAGTCTGAGGCGGCTCATTACAAAAATGTGAACCCGTTTGGCCCATCTGAAAACGTCGCTTCGCGGCGTCCAACTATTCGCTAAAGTGTCATTCGGTGAAACTTGGGTGTTCGCTAAAACATTGTTCGATCAAGTGAGTGCCTTCCGAAAAATAACATGAAACTGTTCTTGACAAAAGAGATAGTTTAGCATAAGACAATGCAAACTAGGCATTGAGGTTGGTCTGCCTTTGTCCTATGGGGACACTGGTTCACGCTGTAGATGAGAAATTTATCAAGTGCAGCATCTGGGGTCTTCAACATCGATCACGCAGTAGTGATTGCACAAAACCGACCTGGTTCAACGCTCATCCATATCGGTCGGGAGTGGGCATTGAATTGAGGATCCCTGGGTGCTCCTGTGCTGGCTTTGACTCCACATGTTTACACCAATGCATGCCGGCACAGTGCTCATCCAGATCTAAATGAGCAGAGGGGAGGATCGAACCCAGGATCCCAAGGTTCAGGAGTGTGAGTTTTCGCTGCATGTGCTCCTAGCTGCAGAATAGTGACATGCTCGACAACCGATTCCCCAACTGCGGCGCATTGACAAAACATGGCCAACAGTCTTTCGCCACATTAGCGCAGCATTGCACCTGTGTAGATCCTCTTTTGTCATTGACCCTTTATTTTTGTGACTAGGTCCTGCCAACTGACTCGGGCTTTTGCGTTTCTGCAGCCTCTTTAGCACTTGTAGTCACAACTCTTTGTCTGTGTAGGTTTGCCACAGGGGCAGCCGCTGCAAGTTTGTCCATCCTGACGGGCAAGAAACTGAAGAGGCGCGACCGTCAGCCGACCCCGTCTTCTGCCACGATTTTCAGAACTCTGAGTGCTTCCGGCCAAACTGCAAGTTCCTCCACTGCACCCGTCAGGTGCGTGGCAGCAGTGCTGACCTTCTGACTAGGCTGGCTGCATCTAAACTCCTTGTGTCAATGAAAGCAGGGCTGGGTAGAGATGCTTCACAAAGTGTTCCGGAATACAAAAACTGAGATATGTGCGTTTTAAGGTAAAAATACAGGTGTTGAGGTGCATTTGGCTTTTATGTAGTGGGACATTCCCAAAATACTTTGCCAAAAACATCAAAAAAAGCATTCCGGAATACAGGTACAGATGCATTGAGAAATAGATGTTTCCCCGAACTGTTGTAGGTATGGAGGGTGCAGTATGTGAATGCTAGTGCTTGTATTCCTCTGTTTATGTCAGTTTATTCACATCTCCTTACATCAGCTGCTTCATCTATACACAGTTACCATCCTGAATTCTGCAACAAAAACCATTGTAGCCTCCGGTGGCTCATACATACTGCAGACCGACGACTGCTTGCCATGCTTGACAAAAGGCATCTGCCCGACATGAATTCTGTTTTTGCCGGGACGATGTGTCCCAATTTGAGATGCACTTTTACGTTAAGAGGGGATTCTGAGTGGAGCTTATCCTGCTATTCTTGCAAGTGACCATTCTTTACCCAATTATATATCTTCTATTTTTATTTTTTTTTTTAATTTTGGGGACTGATATACTATGCAACTAGGGTTCCCCCCACGTAGAGGGGGTTATGTGGAAGGTGCATATTACGAATTCTGTGACCCCTTGCACCGAAAAGGTGGTTTTCAGTTAATTTTTAACTCTTTGAGGAGCATGTGTCGCAAAAAATCTCGTTGGTGGGACCGGAAAATCCTGATTGGTCGATAGGGTCATAACGTCACAGCCGCGTGTGACGTTACACGCGAGGTCATGTTGCGTGACGTCCCATGTGACATCACGTCACCATCGCAGTGATCCAGTTTGATGAAAGTGCTCAGAAGAGGGGGGACAACTGTTCAAGTATGCCACAGACTAAGCGGGATATGATGGAAATTGCAGCGATCTCAACTACGATGAGTGAAAGTACCAAAGTGTGGTGTGTCTGAGAGTGTGTGTGGTGAGGGAGTAAGATACTTAATGCACATAAACGTAGAAGGAACAAGGGAACAAGAAACTTCGTGGAGTGTACTGAACAGTGAAGTACCAAAAAGTCTCGTAAGGATGCCCAAAATGAAGAGATAAACGGCGAAAAACATGGGGTGGGCTATTTTTGGGGATGCCACAGCAAAACTCTATCGAAAATTAATGATAAGCACCGTTACACCCGCTATAAACCAGATGATGCGGGAACTGATACCGCAGATCGCGGACAGGGCAAATTCGCGTTTCACGATGTGACAAACACGCGGGAACTCACTACGTGCTCCTGTGTCACGGGAAAGGATACCGCAGGTTGCGGACGCGGCAGATTCACGTCTCGCAGTGCGAAGGGCCCGCGGAAACGAGCCAAGAACTCGCATCTCCCGGGAACAGATACTGCAGATTGTGGACGCAGCAGATTAAAGCTTTATGGCGAAATACACACGCGGGGACCCGTTACAATCTTGCCCATCACGGAAATCGATATTGCGCGCACCGATCGCAGACAAAAACGCGGGGATCTGATACAAACTCGCATGTCGCCGAAACAAATACTGCAGATCGCGGAGGCAGCGGAATAGCCACCTCGGTGGCTCCGAGGCGAGAGCGTCGGCCTACGGATCCCCATGTGGCGGGTTCGAATCCCGGCCGAGGTGCCCGCAATATGACGGAGGCTTATTGCGGAGAAGACGCCGTGTAACCGAGCTTTCGGTTGCACGTCAAAAGATCCCCAGGTGGTCGAAATTGATCCTCAGTCCTCCGCTGGGGCGTGCCAGATGCCCGCCGTTGGTTTGGCACGTAAAAACTCCAAATTTAAGTTTGGCAGCGGAATAGCATTTCACGATGCAATATACGCTTTTACAGCTAGAAATCAATATTGCGTGCACAGATCATGGACAACACACGGGAATCCTCTACAAACTCGGAAACGATACCGCAGATTGCGAATGCAGTAGATTCGCATTTCACAATGCAATATACACGCGAGAACAACTGGTGTGTTACGAGAGTTGATATCGCGTATACCGGTGTCAGAGATCGCTCCATTGATGCCCGATTCCCGCCAGACATAGCTTGACGTCCGACGGCAATCGGGGGGTTGGCGATGTTTCGGAATTTTTATATTACAGATAGTTAGCCAGAAAAAAGCAATGGGCGACCTCTTGGGGGAGGGCGTCCTTACGGGATTTTACAGTAGTGTTGTAGAATGCGAAGAAGATCACATGTGATTACAAACAATGAGAAGAAAGTCATACTGTGGACAAATAAAACAGTCTTGTGTCATGAGAACTAGGTCGTTGTGCGACTCAAGAGCATCAGAAGCGAATGAGAAGGCGACGGAAACTGGGCCCGATAACGCTATTGCGTTCTACTCTTAAAAGCGAAGCCTAAGTGTCCTAAATTTTTCGACAACCAAATGTAACGAGACACCTTGGCAGAGTATTGCGAGACAGGCGATATGTTGCAAATGTATTTCACTACCGAAATACAAATGCATTTTTTTAACAGTGTCTCGACACAGAGGTACAGATACTCAAAAAGCATCTCTGAGATACCAGCGCGACACTTTCCAGCCCCGAATGAAAGTAGCTCTACGGTGCCCAGAATGCTTTCTCGATCAGTGCATTTACCGTGCCATACCGTCCATGCATTGAACAAAAGTGGTCACGAAGTGGCAGCAAATCACATTGCGGGAGCCGACATGTCATGCTGTCGAACGTTGTGATCTCGGCAGTTGGTTGTACAAGTTCCGGCAAAGAAGACGAGGGTCACCGTCGTTGCTGTTTCTCGTCTCGTGTGCTTTAGTTTCTGTCGGCTTTTGGGCTGCAGAATGAGTGCCTGTGGCATACACCCTCACTGTGTTTGCCACTACAGGGATCATGGCAGGCGACAAAATAACATATTTGTGTCGTCGTGGGTGAAATTCAAGGGACCACAAACGAGGACGCTGTAAACACCTGCCAGAGACGAGCTCTAAGTGTCACTAAATGGAGTAGCGGGGACGACTGTCAAGGGAAGCATGTTAAACAACGTTCAATGGCTGCTCCGAATTTACCAGTGCTGAGCTTTTTCGAGTATTTTAATGATTCAGCACCGAGCTAGGGAAAAGCCTTCGTTTGTGGTAGTAGAGATGCCGACAAATTTGATTTAACTCAGTTGTAGTTGTACTAGTCTGCTTTGTTGCCCATTGGCTTCGCGGTTCCTCGGGCGAGCCATATCTATTAGATCCAGTTTACGCTGGTTTGCACTGCTACGGCGGAACATCATTAATGTAGTTCCGGTGGATGCGCATTCCCGTTTGCCACGTGCGTGGCCATGGGCTCTGTTTCAACTCCCGTAGCCATGGCTGCAATTTTCGGGCTTCTCTGCAGCCATAACCGTAGCGTGGAATATCATTAGTTAAATTTAGTGCGATGCCTATCAGTCACCTGGCAACGTGTTTGGTGCCACCACGAGTCACGTCGTATTATGTTGGGGTGTCGCGTGACATCAGGTCGTGCGATGTCGTGGGACTAACGGTACAAAGCCACGCTGTCACGTGTTGTCGTGTAAAATACGTTATTAGAACAAAATATGGTGTAACACTCTCAAGGTCTGTTCACACTCTTGCAACCGAGTCCGACCGAGAGAGACCAGACTGGTTTTTGGCCTCTTGCGACTTCTTAAGACCAGCTCCGCTGTAGCGCACCTGGTCCTAAGAGGTCGCAAGAGGCTTAGAAACTGGTCTGGTCTCTCTCAATCGTACTCTGTTGCAAGAGTGTGAACGGGCTTTAACGTTCGCTAAACTGGGATGCAGAGAAACACACTTCACATTGTTCTCAGTGAAGTTGTTTTTATTCCGGGAAAGCATGCTCCATATATAATGGCCGTGATGCATCAGCACGACCGACATGATGATGATGATGAGCACAGTCAGGGCGCCACCTAGCTGTCATCACAACACGTCGTTGCATGAGCATGTTGTGTGGAGTCACGCTGTCCACTAATGGATTCTGCATATAGGACGTTTGGGTGGTAGATCGAGGGAGCACCTTTGTAGACCCTTCTCATAATTGCGTGCCATTGCCTGTCCATCATTGGGCACATGCTCCGTGCATGTATTGGACACAAGGGCTGCGTCAACATTCAACGACAATTCCGGATCCGATGGCAGGCTTCGTGCCCGAGAAATGGTGACCGTCAATGTTGCTCGACGAAATTTTGAAAGGGCCTACTTTTGGGGGCCGCGTGCGGAGTAAATCGAGAAAGTGACAAAGCAAACGGCAAGGCAAAGACGTCAGCCGAACCATGGTGCCTGGAACGCGTTTCCCGACTGGCATGTTTATCGCGTTGTAGAAAGTTGTCCCTTCATTTCCGCTCGACAACGTCGTAGAATCGTCACATTATTGCCCGCCGCAACCCCGGCAACGTCCCAGCAAAGGTGGTGATCATGGCAGACGCCCGACCTGCCACGGGTCGCCCTCCAGCTTGACAGTCCACGGAAGCATCGGCAGCCGAAAACTCGTGACAACGGCGGCACTCGCGTTCGCTCCTGCATTTTTGCCGGGGCGTCTATAGTCAGTTACAGGTTAAGAAGAGTTTTCGAGGGAAAGGAAGGCTCGGGAGGAGGAACTAGACAGAACACTGTCTCCTCCTCTCTCCAGCGTTCCGTCTGCTTCCCCCTCCCAAGCCATTCTTTTCCTCAAAAACTTTTCTTGACTTGTTGCCGACTGCAGCACAACCACCAGGATCGTGACATCCGACAACAGGACCAGCCGGCGGCAGAGACATCATTTGTTGCCACTTTGGGACCACTTTTAACATACGGTTAGGATAGGACTCTGAATGCACCGGTCGAGGACGCATTGCGGGCATTGTGATCGAGCGGGACGCGAGGATGTAGAAGAAAGGCCGACGGGTCGTTCTGTCGTGCAGGAGGAAGAGCTGTACCGAACCACAGGACGCCTCCCTTCGGCCCAGGGGATTCCCCCTCCGGAGCCCCCGACCGTCGTGGGCATGATCCCCCCCGTGTGCAAGGACTTCCTCAAGGGGGACTGTCGCCGGGCTGGGCGCTGCAAGTTCCGCCACCTGGGAGAAGAAGAGCCCGAGGCCAAGAGGAGGGCCCTTGATGAAGACATGGGCTACCGTGTGCTGCAGCAGGAGAACGCCATCCTCAGGCGCAAGGTGAGGCGGCACTTCTGCCCCCGTCCCTCTTCACATTGCACTTTTGGCTCACCGCGCGTTTCGTGGAAACTCAGTGGGAGGGGAAACGACGTTGCTATTGTGACCGTGCTACACAAAAGACGCCGTCCGTGCTACGTCTGCCCGCTCGGGCCTAGAGTGGCTCTACCAGTGCCTCGACCCACGGCGTCTTGGCCGCGTTTGTGCCTTCCCCCGGCTGCGTTCCTCGATCTCGATCAGGGTAAAGGTTTGGCACCTTCTCATTAGAAAACGTATCCACATCCAACTTTGCCCCGTGCACTTCTCGCGTCGTTTGACTTGCAGGAGTAGCTCGGAGCTCGCAATCGTAAGCAGCAATGGCTGCGCCGCGCCGTTGTGTTTTTTGTTTATCTTCATTATAACCACGGTGGAAGAAATACATCTAGGTGGTGACTCTGGCCGCTCTTCCAGCGGGGAGCGAGCGGCCAGATCGCGCCAGAACCAGGAGTATACTCTGTTTTACCTTAGGATGTACCGCAGGAAAGGCTACAAGCGCGAGCTCCTTGCTTTGGGGCACATCTCGGCGGCACAAGCTCTCGTGACTTAAGAACGGCTGCCAACGCTTTGAGCTCGCACTTCTAGCTTTCGCTGCGGTACAACTTGAGGTGAAACAAAGTATGGTTAGCTTTGTGCTGCCGCGGAGGGCGCTGAAGTGTGAGCACCATGGGTATGAGGTCTCTCCTCGGCGGCCACGGTTTCGGGGGCGTAGCTTGCTCGCCTTCTTCGCGGTGTGGTGGTGGTGTGCGGCCAGTGGCTGGCGTCATGTTTTGCTTTGGTGCTGTGTCGACCAAAGGCGCGACCATCGTGCACGAACGTGAGCCTTGACCCGAAGAAGTTATGCTATAAGGATGGGAAAGATGTGCTTCGTTCCCAACTGCAATTCGGGGTACCGGAACTGCGCAGAGCAAGTGTCCTTGTTTAAAGCTCCATCGAATGACGCTCGTCTGGAGCAGTGGCGCCGTGCAATCCCGAGGGCCGATCGCAAGTTACTGCCTATTCTCCTTATCTCAATCACCAACTGAAGACCAAGCTGGACAGTCTAATTTCTGTCGAAGACTGGGAATGCGAAGATGTCTGGACATTGAAGGCTGAAGAAACCAGGGCTACTATATTATGTAACTAGGTCTTTGAGTGTGAAAATGAAAAAAAGCTACACGCTGCCCTGCATGCCGATCCACTTTCAGCATCGACACTAACACTTGCTGAAGCAGCACTGAAAACGTGAAGAACAGAGGAGGCCTTATACACCCCAACAAGAACCTTTTCCAGCTACTGAAGAAAGCAGGACAGTTCTACGTGGCAAAACAAAAGCCACCAGACTGTCTACTGGGACGCAATCGACAGTGGTTTTGACACATGCACAATAACATTTCCATGCACAGAACACAAAGAAGAAACAATTGCCCAGTTGCTCCACTACTACATCAGCAGGCGAATGCGACAACACTGTAAGCATATTACCATGAGTATGAACAAACAAGCCCAAGAAAAGAAGTAATCAGCAAAGCAGCACTCATCTTAGTTTAAGAGCATCGGTGAGGAACACAGAATGTTGGAGATGATGTTCTTTGGTAGTATGCAGTGAATTCAGCTTTTGTGTACATTTTAAAGCAAAAATATTTGCCAGGTATTTTTTACCTAAGACGGGGTGACACCATATTGTGAGAGTATAGATGTCCTATAACCGCTACTATTGTTTGACTTTCAGTCACTGTGTCATCATGTCAGTCAGTATGTCATCATAATGTGTCATCATTTCAGTCACTATGTCATCATAAATAGAATATTTTTCTGCTCACAAGGTTTCTATGTTCCACAGTTGAAGTTGAACTGTGGAACATAGTTCCACAGTTCAAGTTCAAGTGTATGTATAAACCATTTCTACTGCCATAATGTTTATGCGCATTGAAGAATTATCTTGGTCCCACTATGTAACATTATTAGAATTTATTTCTTTTATAAATAAGGCAGGAGCGGGGTGGGAAAAATCACCCGACCTCCTATAAAGCGCAATGTGTGTAAACAATTTATGGAACTGTTACCAAACATGCGAGCACGACGCAGCTGTTTACTCTAAATTATTGAAGGCCCAGTAGATTATGCCAGGAAGTTTTATATTTATACGAGTATTTTTGTCATGTTAAGTCATCGTCGGAATATTCTCGTTTAGAAAAACAGGAACCGCACGGGGGAAAAGGCAAGCAGTGCCAATGCGCCAACATAAATCCATCATTTCACCACACAATACACAGGGACTGAGCAAAGAATGCATAATTTTCTTTACAAGCCCCTCTATACTTTGGCGCCATCTATCCCCGTGCGCATGAAGCGCGCTCGGTGCGCCGAACATAATGTGGTCGCCGCGTGAGGCAGAGAGTCATCACCTAAATGTATTTCTTCCACCGTGATTATAGCTAGGGTTCAACATCTTCGGTAATTTGTTTTTTTTTAGTTTGGCATATTTTTTTTATTTTCTTACACATATTTTGGTTGTTTATTGGTGAATATATATATATAACTAAACTTGTTTTCATTCTTTTGGGGGGAGTATGTATTCTGGTTATAGCTTTGCTGTTGACATAAAATGTCAGGTATAAAAATGGCATGTTTATTCTTCAACCTGGAACAGGAATGAAGATACATGCACATACAAGCACAAGCGAGTGAGATATTGAATCCACTCGGCAACCGTGCATTCCACTTCCAATCAATTCACGATTACTTCATCTGATTGTAATTAGGGTTCAAATTTTTTCGATTTAAACCGATAAAAACCAATAAAAGTATGCTGAATCTATTTTCAGAAATTTGGTTTTAACCGGAAGAGTTTAGTTTGTAGGTTCAACGTTTTTGGTTAGTGCCGATAAATGTATGTCTAATCCATTTTCTAAAATTTGGTTTTAACCAGAAAAGGGTACCTTTTTAGGGCCTCGTCAAAGTGGCCGGGGTGAGGGTGAGAGAGGGAGAGAGAGGGCCTTGCATGGTTCGACATTGTGGGACCTTTTCGTGATTGCCCTCCTCCGAGGTTCAACATGCAACAAAAGAGGTCTTGGATTGGCATTCGCGGGACATTTGTGTCCTTTCTGTGATCAAGCTTAATGCGTCAAGTTCTCGGTCCTAAAACAAAAAAAAAAGTTTGGATGTGGGCTAGTATAAGGTTTTTCGCTTCATGCACTTCAGAGTACATAGAGGAAAGCCGTTAATACCTTTCTCAACACCTTTTTTCAAACTTCCCTCTGGTTGAGCACATAAATACAATGAATTTTTTTGCCATTCCGCTGGCTCCTGTACGGTCATCACCTCAGACGGTCACGTCGCCAGGATGGGAAGGAAAAAGGAGCGTGCTGAAGATTATGCCCGCGATTTTGAAGTGTGTCCTGACGGAAGTTGTAGAAAATCATGCATGTATCTGTGCCGTCATTCTTCGAGTGATCAGATATATCAAAGCTACAAGGATCCTCTGATCCATTGTCCGATAGTGTTGCTTTGATATTCACCGAAACAAAACGGTTAACTTTCGTGGGCATAAATATACACCGAAAATTGAAGTTTAAAATAAACACCAAAAAAGGTACGCTAAATTTTGAAAGAATAAAAACTGAAAATGCGGAACCCTAATTATAATACACTCACATGTATTTGCCCAAGTTTTCTTCGTTAACACATGCCCGCTGTTTTCTGTTTATCACTCGCAGCTTAGCAAATTCCGTCTGTACATTTACACCTGGAACAGCCAAACTGAGAAGGCGAAGTGCCGTGGTAGCTAATATTGGCCAATCAGTCAAGCGTGATCGCCAAAAGATAACTGCTACCACGTTTTCGAGCACAGCGTACTGCAGACATTCACGAAACTCTGGCTGCCAGGCTTGAATTGTACCAGTGCCGCTAACAAGTTTGAAGGTGCTCTCGTACCTTGAGAAGTCACAAGGCATTTCCGACTTGACGTTCGGGTCATTGATACGCACATTAAACCAGAATGTTGTCAGTGCAGTGGCGTGCCCAATGCCATCTGAAATGTTTCGCACGACACTGTCATTCCACTTTTTTGCCACAACTTTGCAGTACTGTATGACTGAAATTTCTCGGTGAGTTTTGGACCCTTTTTCTTCGTCCACAAGGTCTAGCATATTAGCAACATCATTGTGGTACCTTCGATCTTCCTCAGCCCACCCCTGCAAGATCCCGCTTAGCTGTATCACCAGCCAGGAGTAGACATCGCACACAACTGTGTCCTCCGACTCTAACTTTTTCAAGATTGGCAAAATCGAGTTTGCTCTTTCTCTCACAGATTTCACCTTAGTGAGAGGGTCATGCGTTGCTCCACTGTCCCAAATCATAGCTTGAAGCTTCTTGCATTTTTTGCCTTATGTGTCACAACTTCTCATGAAAGCGAGAATAAGATGCGAGTAGGTAAGAACATCACATAGAGACTTGTAGAAAGAGAACCATCTGGTAGGGCAAACGGTTGCAAGAAACTTCGGCTCCATGTTCATGGACTTGCACTGTGCGGGGAATTTACGCGAGAGCCCTCTGGAATTCTTGAGCATAGCTGTGACGTGCATAACAAAGTCGTGCACGCATGCGAAACCTTCCAAGCGCAGACCCTGAGCAAGGGTGTTGTTCAGAAGGTGACAGGGATCGCTAAGGTGAATGCCCGCAAACCCGAGGTCTGACTCAAGGTCCAAGACATGCATGGAAACATCATTGAGCCGCTTGCCAAATTTGAGTATAACTTTTTGCAGAACCATGGCAATCGTTAAAGCGTTACATTGAAGCAGAACTTTTAGAGCTAGTATGTGTGTGCTCCTGCTCCTCCTGCCTGGTAAAGCAGGGTCATAAAATGTCACCATCACAGCTACAGCAGAATGTCCTTGGAGATCAGGGGACTCGTCAGGGATCACCGCAATTGGGGAGTCCCAGATGGCTTCTCAGATTGCTGCTACGCCGCTCTCCTACACATCGAG